TGATGTTACTTCCATATTTATTCTGTGGCTCAACGTCTGTGAGTTTCGCTGGTGTCGCGAGCTTTGATTTCTCCTCCCTCTCGAGGGTGTGAGGACATTTCTCGTCGTTTATTAGAGACGATTTCTCTCCCGTTTCCTTTCCAAATTTTCCTTCATTCCACAATCCCTGTCTGTATGCCTGTGTGAGAAGGTATGAGTCCTGTCCTGCCTTCTCTGCAGTTTTTGCATCGTGTTTGCCTTCGTTACTTTTTATCCAGTCAATTAGTTTCCCCCAAGGTGTGTTCGTGTTATCGATACAGCTCCCTTCCCATATGTCTCTCTGACTGTACTGCTTTGTAACAGATTGGTCGGTACGTTTAAATACGAGCTCCCCGTATCCCGTAACCCATTCAAATATTGTTCTTAATCCTAGCATCTTAAGTATGGCAAGAGTTACCTTAATATTTATTTTCAGAGTGCATATAAACAATTGTATCACAGGATGCGTCAGTTCAACTCGAGCAAATAATCTCAGCCCAGCTGTCTTTGTTATACTCTGCTACTCTGGTATCTCCCTTCAGAGCGCGTTTTGTTTGTATACCCCCGTTTACAACCACAAGGCAACGTTAGTTCACAACACTTTGATTAACACATCAGTGATTCGTTCCTGAATTCATGCATAACTGTCTGCGAGAGATCCCGGAAGACGAGCCCCCATTATGTTGTATATGTTGGGTATGAAAATTTGTTATGTTGTATGCGTGCGTGGGTGAAATTATTATGTTGTATATGTGGGTTATGAATATTCAGTGGAAATAATAATAATTAAATGAAATTTGGCCAAATGTGTAATTATCCGGAAATATGTTAATTTATGTAATTACGCACATTTTAATTATGCCAATTCAAGAGGTAATCGTATTAATTATGTGAGTGGGTGTAATTATGATAATGCAAGTCGTTATGATAACCAGACCCCGGTTCACCCCGTTATCGCTTTAACATTTACTGAGTATGTATTAGTGTGTTTATTAAGGTCACCAAGTTCAAATCTCAACGCAGAAGCAGATCTTATGCATAGATTTCAGGAAAGAATCACACAACCACTTCTGTATTGATCAATTTATTACTAATTCAACCTTAACTATGATATAGTATGCGAACTCTCAATCCCGGAACGTCAATACGGCATCAATACAGTATCATCAACGATTGTCTGATTTCACTTTGACAACGGCACATGGATCCCGCATAACGCGATGGTTCTTAGTGAGAGAGAGAGTCGTTAAAACATGCAAATACTATGCTAAGAAAACCTTAACGTTAATGAATGATTATACTCAATATTGTTCACGCAGTACCGCACTCCTTATTGATCATACGCAACCCTTATCACGTTGTTAACACCTTGGGTCACGGAACAGTTGAATATTCTGTAGAGGATGCGAGTACGTGCGGCGATTATGACTGAAGATACTTGAAAGATTATACGGCGATAAAAAAAACAATCAAAAACAGTTATTATTCTTAAAGGCACCAATCTCAACAGATACATCGGCAGGTTATCTGACAACAGAACGGCTTGGAGTAAGGGCCTGCGACGGTGCTCCTTTTCCGAAGCTCGTTATCTTATACCAAGTTTACTAATTGGGGACCAGATCACCTGATAAGGGTCCGGTGGGCCACCACTCCCCACGTGAGCGTGGCTCGGCGGAAGGAGGTGCCAAGAATCAGTTCGTATTGATGGATCTGTTGGGAATTTATGCGATTAAGAGTACAGCCCACTAAATATTAAAGATAAAAATTAAGAATACTCTTATAAGAGACGGAGGGCCATCACTCGGTCTCGTTGTGATGCTTTCCAGCCACGGATGGCTTATGGGTTCGAGTGTTTTTGAGTGGTAAGAGTTGTCTTGAATAGTCAGTGTTCGGAGTCGATTCTTTAGGTCAAACAGACGCCTGGTGGTCGTGTGGTGAGGGGGCGGTGCGCGTCATACGTATCAGTCGATCCCCTGTCACCGTGGTGGTTCGGATGGCTGTTGATACGCTGTCGCAGTTCGGAACCCGGTCGGTAGGTGGCGCCCACAACTCGCTCGTAGCGTGCAGCGTTGGATCGTCGCCAAACCGCAACGATCACCACTCCGGCGGCAGCAGAGACCTCCGGCGGCAGAGGTTGACGAGCTGGAGATGAGTCGAGCCGACCCGCTGGTCGCAGCTCGCTCCTGAGTCGGCCCTCCCGGTCGAGCTCGCTCCTGGGTCGACCCGCTGGTCGCCCTCGCTCCTGAGTCGACTCTCTGGTCGCACTCCTGAGTGGACCCGCTGGTCGCGCTCCTGAGTGGACCCACTGGTCGCACTCCTCCTGAGCCGACTCTCCCGGTCGCGCTCCTGAGTGAACCCGCTGGTCGCACTGGTTTCCAATGCTCAGGATCCTTTACTTTATGCTGAAAAATCCCCCTGGATCCCGCCCACAAGGCGGGGCTTCCGATTTTTGCTGTGTCAGGATCTGTCCGTAGGCAGGTGTGTCCATGTGTGTGTCCGTGTGTCCTTGTGTGCATCACTGACGGTATATTCCGTTGTCACACTCCCTCCATAAAACCCACGAGCAAACAACCAGATGTTACAAATTGTCTCGAAGTCGTCTCTCTGTCTGGGTGCAATTTATCTCTTGTCTGGCCTTCTTCATGAACCCAAAACACAGACGTTACAAATCGTCTCATAGGCGTCTTTGTTCGTGTTGCACAACCTGGAGGGAGGGGCAACACTCTCTCCGACCCGGCGCACAAAGAAATGGTTAAAAGTTTTAAGTTAACATTTGTCCCTTACTATTTCACAGTTATGATTCTGTATGTAACCTAAGGTCTGTCGTTTCATCGTGATGCTTGACTCCAGTGGAGGTGTTTCCCCGAGCGTATACACACTCCTATCCCGCGCTGCGGGGATACAAAGACGGCCGGGATCTCCCTTTCTCTCCGACCCTGGGTTTAACATTGTTTTTTTTTATTATGTATTTATATTCGACCTGGTGGTGATTCATCCCGTTATCCTGGCTTTTCCATAAGTTTTACTTTTGTTTTTTCATGCATATACTTATTACTATTAATTATTTCCGATATCTTAGGTTAAGGGGTCAGTTTCTTGATCCTAGGAATTCGTATTCCTTGGTGCCTGCATGGTTATATAAGCGGAATATAGTTTACGGTGAATAGCGTTAACATTGATGTTATGTGCGATATTATGTATTGTGATGTCTTTAACTTAACTTGTTTGTCAGAGCTTTACTGACACGAAGTTGCATTTCATAGCCCGCAGTCTTTGCCCCACCCTATCTCTGCTCGCCGTTGTTGTTGCCTGCCGTTAATTCAAGGCCTCATTAATTTCCGTCACTCCTGAGTAGGTGAGGGCGGTTGAACCTTGGAGTCAGTTCTGGTTTTTGTCTGCCTGCTTCTTCTTGTGTCCCCTGACCCCGGGAGTTATTATTCTACTTTATGGCCTGTCGAAGCCCCACTCGCTGTTGCTGGGCTGGTGTTGTTCCCGGCTTTTGCTTACGTTTGCAGTTCACCGTGCTCTTAATTTCCTTCCCTCGTCAACCTTATATCGACTATTCGCTCCTGTCTGGGTGCGATTCAATTTTGACTTAGGAAGGTTCTGATTGTCATATGCTTCGGGTCGAGTTGTATAGAAAGTATTAAAGTATGGAAATAACATTTCATATTGACTTAATAATGGTGATGGTTCAGTAGGCGTAACTTGTGGCCTGGTTTAATTGGAGTGGGTGTGAATATCAATAACTTTAGCCTACCCTGTTGTTAAATTCCGACTTTAACGTTACTTTAATAGCAATACAGAATAATTGAGCTTTTTGTCTTAACTAGGCGAATGCGAACTTCTGGTGACCCCCGCAGCCTTGTTACTCAGCTGGCTCTTGCCCGCCTTGAGAGATATACAACACTCTTTTAAATCACCTCCCCCCCTGTCCAACCTTCTGCTCTGGGAGTGTTATTCTTGATTCCAGGTCCAAGGCCCCCTCACATTCAGACGCGCAGGGTTGTTTACATCAGCTCTCCCCCCTGTGCACGTGTTCTAACTAGCTCGGAATCCCTGAACACACAATCAGTGATGATTCCTGGCTTTCTGTGGTTGTGATTTAGACAAAGGCGCCTCTGTTTCTTCCATTGCCTTTGAGTCGACACTGCCCTATTATTTGCCCATGTGCTGAGGTCATAGAATTCGTTTTGACTTCAGTAATATTAACATTCAGTATTGGATTAGCAAATGGGCAATGGTTCATTGATGTAGCTCGCAGCCTGGTCTCCAATTTGAGCGAGCGCGAGGATCGATAATTTAGCCTACTCTGTTGTTGAATTTCGAATTTTGACGTTACTTTAAAACCATGCAGGATGATTGGGCTTTTGCCTTAACTATGTCTGGCTGACACTCCCACTGTCTCTGCCGCCTGCACGGGTGACATGTGCCCGTTCATCAGGCCTTATCTTCCCTTGAAGCAAGGTTGTAAATTCTGCCATCCTAGCCCTCCTCCGGTTCATTACTTAACAACACCTGGTGTTTTGCAGTTTGCTGCGCTTGGTGTGTTCCACTCATTAAAAAAAAACAAGTAAAAGATAATATATAAAAATCATCAAATATTATTAATCTCAATTATGGAAGAAGGGTTAGGATACAACACCACTCCACCTCAAGTCTCGATGTAGCACCACGGACTCTTGAGATCCTCTTGAATGGCAATCGTCTCAAGTCCCCAGACGCTTTCTCCAGAGCGCCGGGGGTACGTGTGCCTCCTTAGTTGAGAGAGCCAGGATTCTGCAACTTCCTGCCAGTTGTGATGAATATATTACTGAAACCAAAGGCAGACTTTTTGGAAGCAATGCAAGGCCGTTCTGTTAGCCCGCATTTGCGATTCAGACGGTGCTTGACTTGTGTGTATGAGAGTATTGCAAGGTTCTCTGCGCGACCACAATGAAGGCAAAATATGCCAGGAAAAGAACAGAAATGCATAACTCGTGTTAACCATTTTGTTACAGTATGTACATTTATTATTAAAAAGGCCTTACAAAGTACAATGAAGCTGTGAAAGACAGCCCACATTTGCCCGATTTTAAACCACAAAACCCATCTATAAACCGTGTATCAGAAGTTCCAAGCTAAGGGCGGAGGAAAAATATGGGAGCATTGTCCAGCATGTTCAGCGCCTCTGCCATCCTCAACTCGTACCAAAAATGTACTTTAAAAAAACTCATCCAATTCGATCTCACATCTAAACAGAATAATACTAATAATGATCACATCTACATTGATATGGTGCTTGCTGGCATGGTCCAGCAACGCAAAGTGCCTGACCTCACATTCCATCTCAAACATTTGAAAGGGAACCCCCAGTGGCAGCTGCCCCTGTGTGGCAGGTGACTCATTACTGGACTGCCCCCCCCCCCTCCACTGAAATTAGTCTGCTAGTTGAAGGTGACTGTGCGCTGTGATAATTCCAATTTCGTAATTTGTGGATAAATTAGCTAATTTTAACCACGATGGCAGCACACATTGGCCCTGCTCTCTTCGAATGACATCAGATGATTTATTAGATGGTCCACTGTTTACACACCAGCCATATTCACCAGGGCGGCCTGTTGGGTTTGGACCACGAAACCTCTGCAACAAGGGGGGCAAACATGCTATAGATCTGTTGTCATGGTTTTGCCACTAACTCAACCATTTATTTCTGCTATGAGACCTCCTTTAGCAGTGGCAAAATATAGTAATAGGTTTTTACCCTTTCAACTGGTACAAAAACTGACACCTTTATACAAGGCATCATGTTTGCAATAACCACGTCTGTAGCCACCAGTCACAGCAGGGGGCTTCACCGCTCAGAACCTCATCGACGTCGGATGGTCAAGGGTTAACAATGAGAATTTAGGCATGAAACTACCACATGCCCCGAGCCAAATAAAATACCAGTAATGTTGGGACTACTCCAACTACAGCGCCTACAGATGCTGATGGTATTTAGGTGCTGTCTAAATTAAAATCGTTCTGATTAAAATAATATATTTTGGAACATTCTAAATTCTTTGGGTCTTTCGGTAAGGCCACGTACATAGAAAAAATAATAAAAATATCACGACGTTTCGATCGCAACACAAGCAATAATCATCAGGTGAAAAAATAGTGAGAGCTGCTGAGGCAGGATGTTAGAAAGGTTTGAGATGAGTGTAGCCCAAGGGTCATAAGCGAAGTGGGCGGGGCGAGTGATGACATTTTCAAGTAAATGTAAGATCGCAGAGCTGAGCTACCTCCAGGACGATAAAGCTGCAGAGGTGGCCATTGTATTGTGAGAGAGAGCATGTCAATATAAGATCGTAGAGCCACCGCAACATCAATGAAAATAAGCAACGATGGCTGTGTTAGTGAGACATTTAACCTGTTAATGTAAATACATTTAACCTTTTGTTTGCATTTTGACTGCTTGTGTTGTGATTATTGCAAACATGATGGATGTCTTGTATAAAGGTGTCAGTTTTTGTACCAGTTGAAAGGGTAAAAACCTATTACTATTACCATTTATTTCTGCTTTCGTAAATTTTCACGTGCAAATTAGCAAGAGTCCTCTCTAGTTCTTCCTTAGTGGCCAGCCCAATAATGATTAAAATGTATTCTCCTAATCTATGCCCTGTGTTGTTTGAAATATTCCTTCCTTTTCACCGATGTAGACCTAACACCTGTGCCACTGTCTCAATTGCAGCCATTTAAAATCCTTCCCATAGCATTTCCGGTTCTGAGTCGAGTTCTGCCAAGTGCTGGTTTGATTTCCGTCACTAGTGTTGCCAATCTGAATTGCGTCGCCCTTTGGGGATCATCAACTCCACTGTTTGAGTGTCCGCGTGCATCTCGCGCTGGTTTACCTGCTAATTCCTCACCGCATTCACAACTTGCTTGCCATCTGAACTAATTTCTCCAGCCCTACACACCTTAATCTTGAAAACCTTTTCCTCCGTACCCTTTTAGTGGCCATCACACATGGTCTGTCAGCGGCCTTAGCGTTAGAGACCGGCGATGTTCACCGCCCGACTCCATTTTCAGAGTTAACCTTTATGTGGTACTGTGCCAGCTCCTCAGCGGAAATTACATCTGGGGCACCGCTCATAAGGTCGTGACCGCGGAAGGATTTGGGAAAGGCGATGACATCTCTAATGCTGGCAGATCCCACGACGGTGGCCACCAGTCGATCGAGACCTGGGACGGAGACGCGGGCAGTCGTTACTCAACACGGTTGAAAACAAACTGCACGCACCAAATCACGCGCGGCCGAGCGGACTGCATCAAAAAACATTGCTGTGATTAAAGCATGTGCGTTAACCTTCCAAATCTCCAATAAAGAAGTGCGATGTGTGTGGATGCAAGTGGTTTGGTCCGTAATTGCAGGGTGTTTTGGATGCAGAACCCGTTCTTCCTTAACTATGCTATTCCAACCACGACACATTTACACTTGCAGACGGGTCTGCTTATGGACGCGTGCCAATTGAGGCAATCACTTCCTGCACCACATGGTGGCCAATCGGGCGTGCCCAGAGCTAAGGTCCCATACTGTGTAATCCCTTCTTGCAATTGTTGCTGCATATTTTATATCTAACGAGGAGATTAAATAAACCCACTGAGATGCACAAAACACCTTTGCCTCGAATGCAAGGGCGACCTGGGAGCACGACACTCTGGGAGACCTGGACATTATCATTCTCTCCGCTCTCTTGTCAATTCGTTGGGATTATCGTCACCCTTGGGTTTGCTGTCGCCAGGCAAGCAGCTCCCCGCTTATGAAGAGAGACAACGGGTGGACTGTGCCGTGACGAGCAACCGAGCGGCGCCGTGACCGGACGGATGGCTCGGAAGATTGCGGAGTTCAATTCCTGGTCGGGGATTGAATCCGGCCAATCATCCCTCCGTGGTAGATAAAATAACTACCGCGGTGCTTGCCTTTAAGGATAGACTCGACCCCCACCACTGGAATGTGGAATTTCCACCAACGGCCCGGGAGCTGTAAACGGGAGATTCCTCAATGCCCACATGAGCAGGACATGGCTGCGACCTCTCTGACGGGGCGCATCTGCTCCACACACGCTGCTCCGCACCACGGGTTTCTCCGGTTTCCCTGACGCAACTTAAAACCCCCACAACAATGGAACAACGACCTGAGAGTCACTCATTTAGGATTACTTGTCGCAACATCGCCACCCCCCCCAGTGCGAAAACTTGGCAGGTATTCTGAATATTCCTCTCGGGACTCGGCGAGACTTTCCGTGGTAAAACAAACATTCTGTATAGTTGCACAGTCGTCCCTCGGTTCATGCGACGACTGGATGTTTGGCTGCCGTCAACCGAGGGAGGATGTACGATTGCGTTGGGCAGGGAGGTACAAGACGCCATCCCCACCTTCACCCCGCCCCCCCCAATCATACGGCACGCCAGATGGGGGGCTGCACGCGAGCGAACGCGACGTTCCGCGTCGTCCCGGCACAAGGAGCTTACCCAAGGCGATGCCGCCGTGAGGCGGCGCTCCGGACTCCAACGCCTCCAGCAGGTGCCTGAGCAGCTCCACGTCCTCCTGCACTCGATCACACGGCAGTCGCACACAGCCACAGCAGTCAGCCATAGCAGTCACACACAGTCACACACACACAGTCACTCAGTCACACACACAGTCACACAGTCACACACAGTCACACACACACACAGTCACACACACAGTCACACAACAACAACAACCGCCATTCGCCACTAAGTGGCGGTGACGTCACCACGACGCTTGTGCCAGGCCAAGTGCACCTTGAGGCCACGTGAAGTGTCAAACGCCCGCTGATAGGAGGTCACGGGGCAGTCACACACACACAGTCACACACACAGTCACACACACACACAGTCACACACACACAGTCACACAGTCACACACACAGTCACACACAGTCTCACACACACACAGTCTCACAGTCACACAGTCACACACACACAGTCACAGCAGTCACACACAGCCACAGTAGTCACACACAGCCACAGCAGTCGTGCTCACACTCCCAATATAGGACCAGAGAGTGTGGGAAATTGTTGGTGGGTTCTGGCTGCCTTCCTTGTCTGTGGTTTCCCATGCTTTTGCATGAAAACCGTATTTTGACATTAAATTTGAATGAATGACATCAGAGGATATGCAAAAAAGATTATTGTAATTAACGGAACAGCATTTACCGAGGTGGAATTACATTTAATGGTAACGGCCATCACAATGCATGCGCGTCACGTCAAACCCGCCTTCACACCCATGGCAGTGTGTGGTAAACACACAGCCAAAGAATCCGGCACGGCACACCCACAGGCAGAACCTGGAGCCAAAACACAAAGTGGGCGTGCCGCCGTGACGTTGTCTCTGGGTTGAGTCCCTGCCGCGCTGCTCGCCAGCCCGCATACTGTGCATGGAACAGCCCCGTCAGGAGCTGCAAGCCTCCAGGCCGGCTCGCAGGAACGAGAAGCGCGCGAGGAAAGGGTGCTCGCACCGCGACGCTGGAACACGCGGCGCCGGTGAGAGCATTTTATCGGAATGCCTTTTGTGCCGGACCACGCGGCAGCGGGTCGCACGTCGCTCCCCTGGCCAGAGATCCCGGCCGTCGGACCCCGCATTTCTCACTGCACCATGGCGCACAGGGCCACGGATCATTGGATCCGTATCAGAGGCCGCCGTACGTCCCTGCTCACGCAGCACGGGGCCCTCCAGGCGGCGGAGCCGTCCGAGCAGCCCGCGGTGGAGTGATTCCCAAGGCAGAAGCGACAAACAAAAGTGCGCGGCGGTTTGCCATAGATACCGCCGAACCTCATCACCGACGCGTTCTATGCTCCGCCAGATTCATCAGCTGCTACACAAGATGGCACGTGACCTCCCTGACCTGCCCTGACAGTCTCCCACCATCCGGTCTTAGGTCTTCCCCTACGACTTGCAGAGACCGCTCCAACAGTTGACTTAAGAATAAGCCTTCCCCGTCACGTGCACGCGCCTGACCCAGCGCAATCGTATCGACAGCACTCGCCAACCACGTTCACCTTGCAGACGTCCGCATTGCTTAATCCCATCTTTCCAATACACTTCCAGCCTCAAGACACCTGGGCTCAAATGCCAACTACTCTTTTTCGGATCCAGATCCTCAATGCATAAAGTAACAAATAAAGCAAGCACTTCTGCAGCATTCAGTAAGTGAATAAATGTGGCAAGCCCACTCCTGTACTTAGATGAATACTAACAGCAGTAGCTACTAAAACTGGTCATTTCAGACAGTTAAAAGGGGGCACATGAAGGCCCGGCCGTGCCCTGCGTGCTCTCCCATTCTGGGACCGACCTTGAGCACGTCGTGCAGGACGTGCTTCTGCAGAGCGGCGTCGTGGATGCGGATGGAGCCTCCGCCAATTTCGCTGCCGTTCAGCACCAGGTCGTAGTGCTGACCTCTCACCTGCAATGGCAGAAGTCGCACCATAGCCATGCCATCAGTCGCACAACGGAATCAATATATCGATCGGATCTTTTTTCCAGTATCAAGAATGATGCTGACAAAAAGGTCCCATAGATATAGCTGCTCGACCCAAGCGAGAAATGCTCCGATACCTTGCATTGTCTCTGCACTGTTCGCCTTTTGGTGTTCTCTGGCCTGACGCTGGTGACACGAGGCGATAAAGAAGGCTCTCTGGTGGAGCCCAATCAGTTTCAAAGACAATGCATATATTTTCACATTTGTTTGCATTTTTTGCCACAAATATGTGTGGTTAATGCAGACTTGATGCCTTGAAAAAGGTTTCTATTTGATGTTTAAACATGTTAAGACAACTCCTGTCTTATGCCAGAAAGGGTAAAATCTAGAAATCAATGTAAAGCTTAACACATAATAATCGTGCCCATTATAAATATCGATGCACTCTTTATCGTGTAATTTGTCTCATATGTCCTGTCTAGCTCATTCCCGCTTGGTGGAGCGGCGACGTGGTGGTCCGGCGGTAGCGCTGTGTTCACCACTCGTCGCACAGGTTCAACGCTTCGAACCCAGCGGCCGCGCCCCCCATTATTCCTGCAGCGTGAAGTAGTCACCGTACAAATACTACGCCGCCACCTGCTTCTCAGCGGACGTTAAAGATCCCCTCACGTTGTTTACAAGGGGGGAGCCCATCGAGTGCCGGGGTCTGGGGTCGAAATTTGCCAAATAAAAATAATTCAACTGCACAATTACCCAGTTGCTCAATTGTGATGGCACACATGGCAGCAGCGACCATCACCCCCTACCGGTTGCAGACCCACACCCCCAGCTTGCTCGTGCAAATGAGACGCATCCTGGTCAATCAAAATTAAGTTGAACTTGTACCATTAGTCTGAAGGTAATGCCTGCATGTTACTTTGTGGTGAGTTGAGGGAAATTCCTCAGACGAATCCTAACTACGGTGTTACGACACTGGTGATATCATGGTCGTCGAACTGAACATGCAGTTCCTCTGCACACGCAATATTTATCAGACGCCGTTGACATCCGTTCTTACAGAGCTGCGTCCCAGCCAATGCGTTCATCACGCTTTGATTCATTCATTGATTCACGATTCTTATGCTCGTAATACGACCATTGAATCGTGCGTCGAAGAATTCAATCATCTAGGGCAACAGGCTGGCGGCGTAGTGATGACACTCGCGCCGCACAAGAAGCACGGCCTGGGTTCGATTCCCGACTCAAATGGCTCTCTGTGTGGAGCGTGTATTCTCTCTCCCTGTTCTGAATTAATTTCAGAACAGGGAATTTTCCAGTTTCTTCCCATAGCTAAAAAAAACCCACAAACACTGTGACTGGCATTGGTGAAAAAACATCTCAATTCTAAAAAGTCACCAGCAAGTTATTCAGCTGGGAATGTACACAGCAACATCGCCCCCTAGTGTGTGAACTTGGCAGCAGAAGTCTCCTGAAGCAAGAGTCTTGAAAGACTCGGTGAGGCTTTCCTGGGTTAATGGTATTTTACAAAAAATATATTGAGTAATACATGGGTGTGCTTTGCAGAGGCTGGGACGTACATCCTGAGGCCTGGCGTAAATGAGGTCCGCGTCGTCCGGGTGTGGAGCTGTGAACGGGTGGTGAGCAGACTCCAGCGAGCCGCTGCTGCGCTCCTCCTCTCGTGGCAGGAAGAGAGGGAAATCCACAACCCACAGGAAGCGCAAGTCCTTGGGGTTACGCAGCACCTGCCCCTTCGCTTCCAAGATGTTGGCACATTTCAGCCGCAGCAGTCCCAGCGCCAAACACTGCCGGGAGACGGAGACCAGAACGAGGGGCGTAAACGTAAATGAATGTGTCAGGTGGTGGCAGGTTTAATGTGTCGTTAAATCCGGCACCACTCGACACAGCCAGCCAATTAGTAAGTTTTGTCACGTAAACAAAACATTAGTAACGTTTGTTTAGTGACACATTTACATTTTACGCGATCTAATACACAAAAAAACTTACTAATTAGAATGTTTTATTTAGTGACAAACTTTACTAATTGGCTGTGTCAGGTGGAAGCATGTTTAACGACACATTTATATTTACACAATCGAACACAAAAAAACTTTTATGATGGATAACATTGGTTGCGAAAGCCTACTACGTGTTGATCTATTATTAGTCTAGCAGGCTTGGGTGTTTAGGCAAAGAGAACATAAAGCGGCTCGGGGAAATGAACATTCGTCATGAAAATAATTTGGTTGTATTTGCTGCGATTCCTCTTTGCTTCACGGCTTTACTTAGTTGTCATAGAATTACTTTTGTCATTGGTGACCGACACGAGCCACACTATATCCTGCCCACTCGAGTTCTCACCCGGTTAAACAAAATATACTTGATACTTTATTTGTTGAAATATTGGTAAATATTGATATTCAAATATGTTGAACAGATGCATCGGGTTTGTACCACGTGCAAATACTGAATTAGGAATTCTGCCAAACATTCAAATGGCCCTCTTGAAAAAGCACTGCCACTCAGATAAATGTGAATGTCTACATCATAAAGCGGCTGTTCAGTAAGTGCGCGAGTGCCTAAGAACTAGACCGCTCCACAAATCCCAATGACTGAGGAGTTATTCTAAATCTTGTGCTATTTATCAGAATATTTATTTATTCTGGAAGAATCCGATGAGCTATAAAAGCTCTCTTTCACAGATGCCCAGTAGGGGCACTGAGTAATAACGTTACAACAACAAACAATAAAAAAAAATAGTGCAAAGTACAAGAAAGGTAAACAAATCACCCAAACACATACAAGTAAAACTAAACCATCCCCATACTCTCCCTCATCTCCCCCCATTAACACAACTGATGTGCTTGCATCCGGGGATGGAATTCCTTTCCAGCTCAGACCCCGCTTGCTTGCCCATCGCCACATATATAACCTCTTGTTGTAACAGCTCTTTCGCTGGTTCAGCAGCTCCACTGCTAGATTATTTTTCCGCCTGAGGACGACCGCTTGTGTTGCGATTGAAGCGTCGTGATTTATTATTTTTGGTTTTATTTAATTTTATTATTTTTCTACCTAAATTACTTTACCGAAAAAACCAAAGAGTATGCATCCCCATACTACCAGGCAAAACCCTATGAGATATTAACTTATTTTTGAGAAGTTAGAAAAGATCTTTGATGGATAATGCAACTAATTCAGCCAAATTATTAACAGCCCCTGCGCTGCTCATCTGCTCTACCATTTACAATAACCATGCACACGCAACACAAGCCCATGTAAGAATTATACGACAGAAATGCGTGCGTTCTGTCAGCATCAAGGAATTTACATGAAATGTTAAAACAATGAAATTGCGATGGAGAAATGCGTGAGGGCTAAGTGAAGCTGAGCAGCGGTTGTGGTCTCTAGAAGACGCATGGTCAGTTGCTCACAAGCGGAGAGAACGGGAGCTGGGGACCACCATCTCCACCGCCTGGCTCAACACCGCCCTTGCAGCTTCACCGAACAGGAAACCAGTCTCAGTGCGTCCACTCACTACAGCTGTCTAATTTAAACTAAAACACCCCACATCTCATATGCAAGCTTTCACGACCACTTTTCTTTGGGGGGGGAGGGGGGCCTTGGCCGACACCCGTTAACTAAACCTGAGAACCTACTTTAACTATTTGACGTTGCATGGCTCCCCAGATTCAAACCGACAATCTCAGCAGCGCGGCCTCACTTGGACATCGCCCCACCTCGGCCAAGGGCTTGATAATCTTGGATTTAAATTCCAACCGTGCGGGTAAAGGCGGATCGCAACAGTCCAGCGCACGGTGGTTTGTCGCGTGGCACGAGATCATTTCCTACAGTTGCCAAACGTTTTGATTCTACAGCTGGATTGTGCCAGACACGGTGAATACGTACCACAGAGAGTGTGTTTCCTGCAGCCACGATCACGACATCTCCTGGCTGAGCCCCGGTGAGTCGAGATATTTCCTCCTTCTCCGAACTCGATACAAACTTTGCCAATGAAGACTTCCAAGTGCCGTCAGCGTTCAATGTTATCACATTCACCCTCTGCACACAGACATGGGCAGAGAAACCCACAAAAGAAAAATAATTCATTGCATGAGGATGATGATGATGTTCCAGAATGAGTTCGATTTCTTCTGTAAAGCACTTGTTTTTGCTCCAATTGTTGTTTGGTTGTTTTTGCTTCGATTTTTATTCGCTTCACAATTGTACTTGTGTTCACAATTAGCTTTTTATACTGGAAGAATCTGATGAGCTATGAAGCTCTTTTTCCCAGACGTCCAGTATAGGCGGGTAAGAACGTTACAACAAAGAATACAATAACACAATAGGAGTGAAAAGTACAAGAAAGGTAAACAAATCACTCAAACACATACAACTTAACCATCCCCATCCTACCAGATAAAGCCCACTGAGGTATTAACTTATTTTTCAGAAGTGACCTGGCCACAAATGATAGCTCAACAAAGTTGGCTGGCCATCATTTGGACATTTATAGCACCTTGGTTGACCCAGGTCATTCTTGCAAATTAAAACTCTATCGTGGCACCTCGAATCCCCAGGTAATTAAACGAATTGACTTGAAATTTGAGGCATCACACCTGAAGAGCTAACCACGGCCCTGAGCTGCATAACATGAAGAGAGCCCCTGGACTTATGTGGAATACCGTATTTTCCCGCATATAGCCCGCATACGCATATAACCCGCATACGCATATACCCCGCAAAAATAGCGTTTTGTGTAAAACAAATTTCAGATAGTCCGCATCGTCATATACCCCGCATGTATTCATATCTTTAACGTCGTTACCGCAGTTTAATTCCATCATATTAATACAAAGTTTACATTTGATTAGTGCTCAGCTAATAGCAGCGGCCAAAGGGACTCAGCAATTATGATTCCACGTCTGGTAGACGCTTGTTAAGGCCCTTCCTATTGTGCAATATAAACATTGTACAAACAAATCGAATAATTTGAAACGTGATAACATGTGCAATTTTAGTGTTAGTGGTTTATTCAGCAGTGCTTTAGTCAAAGGTAAGTGTTGCATAGTGGATAGTCCTACCATGAAAAAATGTAACGAGTTAAGACAAATCACGGCCAAACAGTCACAGGAGCAATCAGATGTTTAAAAGGTTCCTCTACTATTGCCCACAAAATAGACCTAACCACCACACACTCTAGGATAGTCTACTGGGTATCAGTTTTGGTGTGAAGGAAGTGTTTTAAACTCCGGTACAGGTGTTGATGGCAAAATAAATTAACCTTTGTACTGGTCGCCTTTTGATGTTCTCTGGTCAAACAATGGTGAGACAACGCCGTAAAGAAGGCTGTCTCTGGTGTAGGCCAATCAGTTTCCAAGACAATGTATATATTATAAGAGCATGGTTGTTTGCATGTTTTGTTGCCACAAGTATGTGTGGTTAATGCAGACTTGATGCCTTGCAACAGTGGTGTTTGAACATCTTAACACCTCCTGTTATATTGCCAGAGAGGGTAAAAGCTATTCACATTTTTCATCATAAATTAACCTCTTTGTTAGTACCTGGCCAAATTGGCTCTGCGCCGTATCCATGAACATTTCAATATCTTTACGGTTCAGGAAATCCTGCAAATACAAACATGAATTACCAAGCGTTAATAATTATTCTGAGTGAATCAGAAACAATATTTTTAGGATAGGCCACGTAATGATCTGGCCAAATCTGTGTGGTGAAGACCCTCCACACACATGACAACAGCAACAGCAAAAGAAACTCTCACGGGTTACAAGCGTTTAACAGCGCGCCAATTATGATTGTGTCAGCTGCCAGCCGGTTATTGTTAGAGCGATTCTCAAAACCAGATTTAGCAGCTGTGGGATATATTTGAGTGCATGTGTAAATGTCACTCCTGACACGCACATGAGAGGAACAAATAAGGTACAGGGACAAATAAACATTGAAACTCCTCTCTACAATTGCATTGCTTCAAAATGAAACCGTGATGTGTTAATTTCCATAAGATTGTCTGTGTGCATGTGAGAGTGTATATGCGGCGGGCGTGGTGCTGGCCACCAACCCCCTCGTGTGCCATGCCAGCCTTAATAGGTGCTCGCTAACAGCACTTGCCCCAAAAGTATGTGAAGGCTATACGAGGGATCTTTGTCCCTGTTGTGTTCACAGTTGGTGCATCTACCAGTCATGGTGGGTTCGATCTCAAGCCTGACGCCTGCTGTACATTTGGAGTTTGCGTGTTCTCCCCTTCGTCTCGTGTTTTTTCTCCGGGTCCTCCGGTTTTTCCCTCCACATTTAGAAACTTGCGTTTCGAGTATTTGGCTGCTATACATTTCCACTTGATAAGTCACTTTGTTGGGCTATCAGTTGTGACCAGGTCGCTTCTGAAAAAGAGCTAGATAGCTCAGTGGGCCTTAACTGCTAAAATAAAAAGTTTAGTTTGGTCGTCAGTGAATCAACCCATGGCACCTGAGGTCTATCCCGTGACCTCCTGCCAGTGGGCGTTCGACACTTCACGTGGCCTTAACATACACATGGCCTGGCACAAGCGCCGTGGTGATGTCACCCCCACTTCGTGGCAAATAGCGGTTGTTGTTGTTGTTGTGTGTGTGTGAGAACGCACGTGTGTGGACATGAGTAATGGCGGACTTAAAGCGGTTCCCGACAGCCCCAAATTTCTCACGGAAATTTTACACAATTTCATGAGCATAATGCTCGTGTGGCACGACAGCAAGAACAAGTTGTAGCTTACGCTGCCGCCCGGCACACGCAGGGCACGTGCGCTGCACTCCTTCCCTGCCAGTGCCGCTTGCAAGAAGGAGATCTGGGTGCTGCGCAGAGCTTCACTGATGTTCACCAACTGTTCAATGGACACCAAATAAAACAACACCGGCTAAAGGCTACTCTAGACGATAACACAAACGATGAGAAATATTACACATTTGTAGCGATCCAATTTTTAGTGACCAAAGTTGTGCAGTTAAAAAAAAATGAACGTGTGCATGATACCAAGTCACCCTTTTCACGTGCCTCCGTGGGTTTATTTCATTGCTGGGGTTAAATAAAGGATGGGACAAAGGCAGGCACGAGAGTTCTGCAGCTGACCTGCATGTCGAATCTGGTATCGGGCTTGTCGGTGCCATATAGCGCGATGGCCTGCTGGTACGTAAGCGCGGGGAACGGAGGTGGCGTGCCCATCAAGCCCCTGGGCAAACTGTGCACCAGCAGGCCCTCCACCAGCCTCTGAATGTCTTGCTGCTCCACGAACGACATCTCGATGTCCACCTGCCAAAAACAGACATTTGTGCCCATGAGGTTTCAATCAGCCACATGACCTTCTGGGAGTGAATAATTTCAGAACCATTGGTTTAATCAGTGTCTCATCAGCAAATCAGGCTTGCTTGTGTGGTGACTGACTCAGAGACACTAAGAGTAGGAGGCACTGTTTATTAACAGCGTTAACAGTTCACACTTCGTAACTACAGCTCCCAGTCAGGACAGCTGGCAGACTGCCTGACTGACGACGCCGAGATGGTGAAGACTGAGACAGCGACAAAGACTCCAGCAGCACGACAAGATCCCACTCCAAACGACAGCCCCAAGCTCTCGCTCGGGGCCTCCTTTTATGCTCCCAGCGGTGGCCTCGCTCCGCCCCGGCCATACCCACTCTCTAGAAAACTACTAGCAGGTTCCCGGGCTTCCCCCACGTGCCCCTTTTGTAAAATTTCCCCTACATCCCTCTCTCAGGTCACGTGGCCTGCTGTCAGTCAGGGCTGCTGTAACTGCAGATCCCCTTCCCTGCCAGCAACAAGCGCTAAGCTTCTAAGTGACGAATTCTATGTAACGACACTTGCACCAATGTTGATGGACTGACAGAAAGTTTCCATGCAAAGATCCTCTCTGTTAGACATGAGTTCCATAGAAAACAAATACAACAGGTGACACCAATGAACTTAATATTTTCAAAGATGAGCAGCACCTGGATTTACAAGTTCTAGTTTATTGTATGTTGAACTTATTTTGTACTGTACATAACCAACCGTGCTAATTGGAGGTACGTGGGAAGGACAACAAACTAAGCACAAAAAGCAGTCCTAATGAAGTTTTCAATCAAGATTTCAAAGTGCATAGCTCCAGTAGCTTCCTAATATCGGAAGAGCGATCCAGACGGCCGCAGAAGCGCATCTGAAAGTGAACGATGCAGTGACCGTCCTTGGTTGATGGCTAGCCAAAAGCTGCTATGAGGATGACCGGAGTTTGCATGATGGTTTATGCTCCTTGATGATATCAACAAGGTATTGTGGTTCATTTGTGGTAAGCACTTGCGACCTTATAATGTTGCGACCTTGTAATGTATTTACTGGGCAACCAGAAGTGAATGCAGCTAACAGTGGAGGACTGCTGCCGAACGTTCGTGGACCCAGCGGCCTCCGTAAAGAGGCTGATGGCATGAAAAGTCTGAAGAGTCTTGTGTCAGTGAGACTCATGTCCTACCCCAAAGGCCCAATATTTAAGAGTGACATTGGCAAGACAGGAGCAAAGCATCATTCAGACGCTGTCTTTCCGACAGCCCTGTTCGTCACCTGAGGACGGCTGCTTGCATTGTGGCCGAAACGTCGTGAGAATTGTATTTTATTATGTTTTATTTTTATTCTTTTATTATTTCCCTTCTACGTGACTTTACCGAAAGAACCAAGAAGATTGGCAAGACACACAAGGTAAATATTATCAAACTAAAGATAACCCTTTTTGTACACAAGGCATTGATTTTGGATTCACCTGTGTGAACTCGGGCTGCCGGTCCGGTTTTGAGCCTTCATCTCTGTAGCACCTTGCAATCTGGAAATACCTTCACACCGCATGACGCAAACGGACAGCGCGCATGGACACCACGGCGTGCGTTCAGTTGCAGTCGACGGCGCCCACTGGGCAGCAACACCCGCGTGGTGTCTGCAGCCATGAGGTTTTAGTTGCCACCGAGGGACTGGTAAGCACCGACGCAGAGCAACCGACTCAAAGCGCCACGAGTTTAAAATCCCACCTGGGCACCCCCCACCCATCCCTGCAGGGTTGGTACAATGGAGTGCCACTCTTTGGGAGTCGTCAACAGCTATCCCATCAGGAGGGCAGCCCCGGCCATGAAAATGTGATGATTACTTCACTAGCCCATGGGCACTTTAACCAGTCACTCTCTTGTGACCGGGCATGAGCCACTGGCAATAAAAGCGTCTTCGTAATGCGGGTTACAAAGCAAGCGCAACACACAGTCCAACCCAGTCAAACACCGCCAGACAGGAAATATAAATATTACACACGTACATTAGGGGTGACACTTTGAGCAATGACTGGTCTTCATAGCACATGCTAGAGCACATGCTATGAAGAAGGGCCGATTGCCTGAAACGTCACGTGTTGAATATTTTGACGATTTACTCAAAAACGAACGCCAGCGCCGCGCGAGCAGCGGCTGAGAGTTCCCGGTGTGGGCAGCGCGCACCTGTCGATCCCCCCCACCATGAGCAGCTGCTTGAACTGCTGGGGGCTCTGCGGCAGGCAATAGAAGCGGCCGGGCTCCCGGGACGGCACCACGAATTCCTTCGCCCCCTGCGTCAGGCAGCGTGCAAGCGAGCGGGGCGAATCGTACGTACAGGTTTGCGCTCGACACAAAGGTAAGCACTCGCATCCTTGTGTGCAATGGAGGTCACACAATAATTAAGCGAGTGATTCGCCTCCTTCACACGTCAGTCCCTCCGCGTAAAAAAATGAAAGTGTGATTAACGCATCACATCAGCTGCATGACCTACTGGGAGTGCATAATGTGAGCAGCGTTTATTCAACACAAGAAAGCTCTCGACCGGTTTCAACATTCAGTGCCACACCAGGAGAGTCAGGCTTAGTCTGAACCAATGCTGGCGAACTGCCAGATGTTTACAGGCAAGGCCGCTCTCTGTTAGATATGGGTCTTAGGTTAACACAAAATCATTTAACACATAAAACAGGTCTAAAGTGTGCTTGTGTTGAACCAATGCTAAAAATAATGCACTCCCAGCAGACTGTGTGGCTGATGGGATGTGTAGTATGTATTTATTCACGTGCAGGGACAGGTATGGGAGGGCAGGAGTATTGCCTGCTTATTGCTTGCTTCTCATATTCACCACAACTGACGGTCACGATGGTTGCGTTCTACATAATGGGCAGGCGTTCATTACAAATAAAGGCCGCGGTTTTCCTGGTGCCGAGAGCAAAGGGTGGAGACGTTTCCGGCGACTCGCCCTCATCGTTGAGATGTGCTCGCTTTACGTCGGCCCGTCTACCATTGTTTCGCTACAAAGTCGCCGATCAACTACGACCCACATACGCATTTAACGTCACGTGGTCTCGCTCAGACGTCACCGCCAGTGGGCACAAAGGGACGGCGGTGAACTTAAATTTTGCCGTGGACTGTTCCCAGTCAAGTCAACAAGAATGTGATTCAGTTATTTTCCTCATTATGAGCTTGTAAACCCCACAACACGACTAACATAATTAACTCCTTACCCTTTAAATGTCGAGGTGACCCCTATTGTTACAACAGATATGCATCGAAGACAAAATATTTATGACCAAAATAAGTATGAGAAGTAGGTTCCCGTCGAGTTAAGGACTCACCCCCGGTGTTCTCTTGAATAACGTCGGAGTTTCCACGTCCACAAAACCTAGGTGGAGAGATCTCCATTCCGTCACAGCCACAAGCAACTCCCCCGTAACACAAACGGACTCGCAACACACCAACAACACCAATAACAATACCAAAACCAACGCTCGCCACTAAGTGACAGTGACGTTACCACGGCACCTGTGCCGTGTCAGACACGCAAACACTTTTAAGAACGTAACAACAACACATCGTAAAAAATAAAATTCTGGCAAAAATATTTTTCCAAACAATTATCCCATGGAACGACAATGTATCAGAACTTCAGAAGCACTAATTTTATTACGTGGTTTAATCTGAGCAGATGACTTCATAACCCACTCACTTGAAGAAGTTATCACGTAATTCATTGTGTACATTTTGATTTAAAGCTTTCGTGACTGCAGGGATTCATCTTCTTGGTTCTTTCGGTAAAGTCACGTAGAAGGTAAGTAATAAAATAATAAAAATAAAACATAATAAAATAATTCTCACGACGTTTCGGCCACAACGCAAGCAGCCGTCCTCAGGTGAAGAACATGTCTGTCGATAAGACAGAGTCTAAATGACACGTCTTAGGCTTGGAGTGTCTATTTAAGCTGTGAGGGAGGAGGAAGAGAGCCTTGACAAAAGAATTTGCATTTGGAGAGGAATTTAGCATATTTATGGGAAATGCAGGAATGCGAATAGTGCTATTGTGAAATGCGTGGGAGGTGGGCGGGGGGTTTTCAAAGTCATATTATGCCCATGCATTATGCAGGATTAGCAGCATCAAAGGGAGGGGGCAGGGGCAGGGGCAGCACCAACAAAGGGAAGGAATGTGAATAGTATGCAGCTGCAGCAACCAAACAACCACGTAAAAAAACTAAAGTATAAACTTCATAGTATCATCAGTATACTAAATATACTCTCCAATAAGCTGAGCTACTAACAGTAAGTAATACATTACAATTCTATGTCGCAAAAAATATAATATGCTTCCAGCTAAACTTTTTTCCCTTACATCAAACAGGTCTGCCCCGTACTATATGCTGCCATAGACAAACCCAACATTAAATTATATACTGTATTACTATACCCCAATGGGCCCCCCCCTATCTCCAGTTGTAGCCAACATCTTCATGGAGAAATTTGAGACTGACGCCATCCAGACTGCCACTCTACGCCCGACCTTATGGAAGAGGTACGTAGACGACACCTTTGTCATCTGGCCACATGGCCGGCCTGCTCTAGACCAATTTCTCGACCACATCAATTCCATACACCCAGCCATCAGATTCACCATGGAAGTCGAAAAAGATGGCAAGCTACCCTTTTTGGATGTCCTAATTAAAAGGAGACCTGATGGTTCAATGAGCCACTCTGTCTACAGGAAAGCCACCCATACGGATGCTTACCTAAAACCGGATTCCCACCACCATCCATCCCAGAAGAATTCCCTCATCAAGACTCTATACCATAGAGCCCAATGCATTTCCGACCAGGAACACATTGCCAGTGAACTCAAACACGTACGCCAAGCTCTTAAGGCTAATGGTTACTCCGACTACACAATCCGCAAGGCCATCACTCCAACCATCAAGAAGGATCCTGTTGAGGAGCCTTTCAAGACCATCACCTTACCCTACATTGCTGGGGTCACAAAAAAGATCTTCAAAATCCTGACTAAACACAAGATCCAGGTCCGATTCAACACTGTACATAAAATCCGTGATCTGGTCCCGTCTGTAAAAGATGTGGTTCCAGACATACAGTACCCTGGCGTCTACAAACTAAGTTGCCTCTGTGGTAGCAATTACATTGGAGAAACCAAACGACATGTCTCGGACCGCATCCGTGAACATAAAGCAGACCTGAAACACGGTATGACAAACACCTCAGCCGTAGCAGATCACTGTTACAATTCAGTGGGCTCACATGACATTTACTTCTCCAAGACAGAGGTTCTCTGCAAGCCATCTGGCTATCATGAGAGATTCATTCATGAGGCGATCCACATATACAAACACAGAGACAATTTCAACCGAGAAGATGGATTCTGGCTTAGCAATCATTGAAAGGACAAAATAAACCATTTCGGATCTTAACTGATTGTGTTCACGTTTACGGTGACTCTCAGACCGCGTTCCACTCACTGGCATTGTATTCTCCGCAGGGAATGGATTCTTTGCTCTGCTACTCTCCCATTGTCATATTTCGTTGCTGCCTCTTAGTATCTTTCACACGACGGTCAATGGTACAGTGTATAATAACAAATAGTATAACATTTATATGCTTAATACAATGTACAAAGTAATATATAGTATCGTAATTGTATAGTGAATATATAGCAGTGTGATATACATTAGGGTGGTTAGAATAATACATAGTGTAATATAACAATGTATAAGGTATAGGGTGGTGTATAGTAATACAGTATATAATTTAATGTTGGGTTTGTCTATGGCAGCATATAGTACGGGGCAGGCCTGTTTGATGTAAGGGAAAAAAGTTTAGCTGGAAGCATATTATATTTTTTGCGACATAGAATTGTAATGTATTACTTACTGTTAGTAGCTCAGCTTATTGGAGAGTATATTTAGTATACTGATGATACTATGAAGTTTATACTTTAGTTTATTTTTTTTACGTGGTTGTTTGGTTGCTGCAGCTGCATACTATTCACATTCCTTCCCTTTGTTGGTGCTGCCCCTGCCCCTGCCCCCTCCCTTTGATGCTGCTAATCCTGCATAATGCACGGGTATAATATGACTTTGAAAACCCCCCGCCCACCTCCCACGCATTTCACAATTAGCACTATTCGCATTCCTGCATTTCCCATAAATATGCTAAATTCCTCTTCAAATGCAAATTCTTTTGTCAAGGCTCTCTTCCTCCTCCCTCACAGCTTAAATAGACACTCCAAGCCTAAGACGTGTCATTTAGACTCTGTCTTATCGACAGACATGTTCTTCACCTGAGGATGGGTGCTTGCGTTGTGGCTGAAACGTCGTGAGAATTATTTTATTATGTTTTATTTTTATTATTTTATTACTTCCCTTCTACGTGACTTTACCGAAAGAACCAAGAAGATGAATTCATTGTTTATTGGTCACATCAATAGATTGGAAGCACTAAGGTGATGCCACCTCAAGCAGGTCATACAAACAAGTAAGATAAAGAAAAATGCGTTTCGAGTATTTCGCTGCAAAACATTTCCAGATGATAAACCACTTTGTTGAGCTATCATTTGTGGCCAGATCACTTCTGAAAAAGGTTAATATAACTCAGTGGGGCTTACCTCGTAAATTAAAACATTGTTAAGTTTATATATGTGGTCTGGGTTCGTGAACTAAGACATATTTAATTCACACCAGCGACAGGCGCTACGTGTCGTAATGGATTCGCGTCGAACTAGGACCCACACACCGAACGAAAAGTTTGCTTTCACCCAAGATTCAAATGCGCCGAGATTGACGGAATGTGTCGGTGCACCTGCGAGATGGTTCCACATTGAAGCAGCTCTGCGTGTGGCCGTGAAGCGGCTGGAAGGCATTGCTGAGATCGCTCGCCCAGCCCCATGCATATTTACCGTGGATGTTGCAGAGGTAATCCCGCATCCTCATCACCATGTCCGAGCGCGTCCTCAGGTTGTGCTGCATCTGACTGCTGCGCAAATCCAAGTAGCGGTACTTCATTCTCAAGGCTTCAGATTTCTGTGACACAAAAACGAGCTGTTAACAAAGACAACGTCGACTTATTTTTCTTTAAATACGTAATGGTTAAGTTACAGGTGTCATGAACAATGGGTCAAAACCATTTCCTGTGGCCTCCACCTTCACATTCTCCACAATAACAACCAAGATGTCCAGAAAATCTGGATTGGCATTAAAGGGTGGCCCTGCTAGTGTGACTCTGCATGATGCAACCAGTCAATAATTTGCTTGCATTGAACCAATGTTGCTGAAATTATGCACTCTCAAATCGGCGGTGCGGCTGATGGGATGAGTAAAAAATTACTTTGATGTGGATACGTGAAGAAGGTGTCACGGCTGCTCGTTTGCGCCTTGTGACTATTGCAAGGCAGGACGGGACAGAATCGTGTATCGTTGTCTGCCATTTATGTCAACGTAACGAATAGGTGCAAGTGTCGGCAAGACCTTCGTAAAGTCATGTATTTCGAAGGGGAGAGTCTTGCTGCGGTTGAGAAGGCGCGCCCCCTGTACCTTCACCTCCACCGCCCCTGTCGCCATGTTCTGTCACACACGGCGCGGCGCCTCCGTTACCTCGCTCCACGAGCCTCACACCGCGTGACTGTTCGAAGAGTAAAGGCAATCGTGACCAAACATTCACGCATTTCACATAAACGTGGTCACTCGAGCACTTTTGTTAGTTGGCGCTCAAAGCAGTGTGAACAGTAGAAATGCAGATACCGGAGACCATAAACATGGTAAGTCATGGGGTGGTAATTCAAACCATCCAAGGACGCCATTCGCATGTTAATTTACTTGACAGCAAAACCCACACAGCAGTAGCAGCAGAATTGCCCATCGGAGCCAACACAAAGCAACTGGCTGTGGCCATAGCAAGAGACTTTAATGCGTAGGGAGGTTTTGTTTTGCGGAAAGCCTCACTCGCCTACAGGCAACAGTAATTAAAATCCAACACTTTCTGTGACTTGTGATAAACCCGGCATAACAGGAGAATGCGTGCAGGCTTGGGAGTCCCCATACTCTAGAGGTGAGCCCTCTCCATATGCAGGCTCCCAGAGGCACAAGGCAGCAGTGAACATTCATGACTGTACTGTACAGAATTAGAACAAAACTGGTCTACAGTTGTCTCTTCGCTTCACTGCTGCCTAAAGGGACACGCACATTATCAACACTTTTGAGTTGGTGGTCTAGACAAAACTATGGTCGACCAAATCAGCTATTTTGAGCTGGTGGTCTGGACAAGGCTGAGAGCATTGCACATCTAATGTGGCCGTCACATGGCAAATGCGCACGGTGTATGGACGGACGTCGTGCCTCCATGCTGCGTGTGAGCAGCACCTGTGCGTGCCGCCACTGATGTTTGTGTCTGAGGTGCACACATTCTCCTCCCGCGATGGGTTTTCCCACCGTGCACACAAAGGGCTGAGTTTAGATTATGAGTACGGATCTAGAAGTGTATTAGACAGACGCACCGCCCAGTCTGCAATTTGAACGAATATATACTAAGGAAACCTGACAATATATTGAAAATGTTAGAATTATGCGAATTACTTATTTGTCAGATTCGACGCTGCGGAGAGAAATAACGACACCTTTGCACGGGTTCTCAGGTTACGTTTTTCTCGTGGATTTGCTTTTCCTGACAGATGGAACACGTGCTGCGAGACTCACGGGGTTGCTCTGCCCAGGCGGACGACGGACAACGACGCCGCTGACACTCACCACCGACTCCACGGGCACCTCAAACAGGCACAGCCTGAGGGCTGAGAATGCCTGCATAACACATTTGCAACACATCGCATTGTTAGAAAATGCAAATGGGAACCCATCATATCAGCAGTCCTCTGCGTGGCCTCAACGTCACGCTAACTGATAAGAGGCAGAATGGCTAAACGTCACTGTAACAACAAGTGCATTATTGATTATTCGGCATGCAATCATCAGGCTCCCAACATTATCCGGGGGTCCCGGACCAATCTGGCAAAACCGGAAAAAAATACTCCAAAGGCTGTAACTAGTCTGGCGATCGGCACCGTGTGTGACGGCGATCGGCACCATGTGTGTGACAAAAAAAAGTAGCTATGCTTGATTTTAGTGTCAAATATTATGCATAGTACATTTTACACTACATACAAATTAAACTATTAAAATACTGCATGTATATACATCACCCCATGCAGAGTCTTCAAGATTGAAGTGGTATGGTATAGTAAATACAGTAGCTTTTAAAAGTGGGATGTTTATTTGTCTATTTGTATATTTATTTATGCCAATGGCATGTAGTAAACAAATTTAAAACACTAAATTCCATAATACAACATCTAAAAACATGTCATGCAAGAATATGCAAAAATAAGCTATTTTGAATAATGATGATTGATTATTTGGCGTTTTTTTTTTAAATCCGGCACCCTTCCCCCCCCTAAGCTACCAGATAACTGATGATTCTCCTGTATTTAGTAGTGACAAGAGCTGAAATTAATCTCTTTAATGCACAATCACATCTTGTGTGGCTCACCTCTCCCTCGGGCACCACCAGCTGGGTCAGTCCTTGGAAATCCCTCAGCACCACAAACTGCGCGTTTCTGTTCAATGCAACATCCACGATGAAGACAAGCCATCCACCCATACCGTGAGCTGTCACCAGGCAACAGTCGCAACAACAGAGCTGTTATGCTATCCTTACCTAGTTTAGAGATTCACATTTAGTTTGTTAAACACAGACGATGCAAAACGATCAGCCTTGTAAATCGAGTCCTCGACATGGGTGAAGCGATCAACGGGGGACATTCAGAGCAACCACGGTAGTAGCGATGAAGAGTGATAAGGAAGTGACTGACCGCCGGGGTGAGTGACTTAAGTAAATTAGTGAGGGTCGGTTCATCAGTCAACCTGACGGAACACGCTCAAGTCGTTTTCAGAAAGGTGAAACACGCACGACAGGGTGGAACATTACGTGAAGAGCCAAAGTTTCCTCGAAGCTACTAGTGGTCGTTTCAAGCAGTGGCACTTGCTGCTACTCACCTCTGGTACTGAATCCACCCGAACAGAGTGACCTCCTGACCCACGTGCTCCAAGCCTAGCTCGCCGCACGTATGTGTCCGTCTCAAGAAGCTGTTGACACCTGCAGGTTCAGTAGCAGACACAAGGTGCGTACATTTCTATACAATTCACATCAGAGTGTTTTTTTGCTCAAATTAGCATTTAGGTAGGGGGCTCATCCCCTGTGTAGAGCCCTGAGCAAGTGGTGGAGATTACATATTCCTATGGTGAGAGAAAGTTTCTCCAAATGACGATCACTGTAGAACAACGATGCGACGATAAAAGTTACAAATTCCCAACGAGGCAGGCAAAGCAAACGGGCTCTCACCGAGGCTACACAACCACCAGGAGATCTTTTTTTCTAAAAATGTGCTTGGAGTAATAAATGCATCAAGATCATTATAATAAATTTTATATTTATATACGGCGCTCACTCAAGGCGCTTGACATAAGTTGACAAAACGACAATTGAATGTAGTTGACAGGGGTGTTACTCTACGTGAATTGAGGAACGAGTGGCAGCGTTTGAGGTGAAAGTGTTCATCAACAGCCCAGACATCACCGATGATGTAGTCATTTTAAGAGCCAATGGTAATTAACTCGAGAACACGACCAAATAACTTTACGAAGGCTCAGGTTATAATATGATGGGGTTCAAGATAAATATTGGCAGAACCTGACGCAATGAGTTCACTGGACGTTCATAAAATGACCATTTAGTGGAAACCTGGAGTGTCTAAAATAACCACGCGCTCTGTGTGTGCGTGACTACATGGGCCTGAAGCACCTTCAGTGCGGCACGCAACCGTGAATCGGCGTTTCGATTGTCACTGGCTGGCTCCAGTGAAGGCGAGAATGTGCGGCAGGGTGCAGGAGGAGTCGGCACGACGCTCACGGGCTGATCAGCGCCGCCTCGCGCTCGTTTAGAAAGGGCCTCTCACCATAGTCACAACCACAATCACACACACACAGATAACACCCCCCACACACACACACAGGGGTAACCCCCCCCCACACACACACACAGGATAACCCCCCCCCCACACACACACAGGGTAACCCCCCCCCCACATACACACAGGGTAACCCCCCCCCCACAGGGTAACACCCCCCCCACAGGGTAACACCCCCCCCCCCACAAGGAAAACACCACACACACACACACAGGGTAACACCCCCCCCACATACACACACACAGGGTAACACCCCCCCCACACACACACAGGGGTAAACCCCCCCCCCCCACAGGGGAAACACCACACACACAGGGTAACAACAACAACCGCCACGACGCTTGTGCCAGGCCAAGTGTACCTTGAGGCCACGTGAAGTGTCGAACGCCCGCTGGCAGGAGGTCACGGGGCAGACCCAGCAGGTGCCACGGGTCGACTGACCGAGATGACCGAGATGACTGGCTGATGCACCACCTGTGCCCCCTACTGTACCAACTCGCTGTGCTTTAGCCACCCGGCGCTCCGCTCGTTGTTGTGAGCGTCGCTCCTCCGCCCTCCGTTGTTGTTGGAGGGCGACTGCCTCCAACTGCCCAGTAGCGTCCTTCACGAGCCTCCTCCACTGAGGCCGATCTTGACACCGCTGGTACCAGTCATCGGCAAGTCCACTCAGCTCCACGTCCTCCTGTACCACATCACTCCATCTCTTCTCTAGCCCGTGCCGCACCCGTTTAGCCCCCTCGATCCGGCCGAACAAAAGCTGTTTAGGCATGCGGTAGCTGGGTATGCGGGCTACATGACCCAGCCAAACCAGCCTTGCCTGCCGGAGGAGCTCACCGATGGGACTTTGCCCAGATCTTTCAAGGATTTGTGAGCTCCTCACACAATCTAGCCTGGTTAAACCCAGGATGGATCGTAGGCAGGCCAGCCTAAATGTTTCCAACCGACGAAGATGCTCCATTAAGGGGGTCCACGTTTCGCAAGCGTAGAGAAGGGAGGGAATGACCGTGGCCGAGAAGACCTGAAGCTTCGTGCGGAGCGACAGACCAGGTAGCTTCCACACAGCGTTACGCAACCGATGAAAAGATATTGCCGCTCGACTGATTCGGAGTGAGTCCTCTGCTGATAAACTGGAGCCGGTCATAAGCACACTGCCCAGGTATGGGAAACTCTCCACCCTCTCCACAACTGCCCCATCACCGATTGGGAGTTGTGGGGGTGGAGTGTCCGATGGTACAAAATACCCAGGCAGGTGCTTAGTTTTGGTGGGGCTGATGGAAAGGCCCCACCTCCTAGTGGCACGCTCCAGTCTCAGCAGCAGCGTCTCCAACTCCTCTTCTGAATAAGCAGCTATTACCAAATAATCGGCATACACAACGTGGTTGACCAATAGGGAGCCATCCCTTGATCGCACCCGGGCGTCGATCAGCCTCCCATTATATCTGTACCAAACGGAAATTCCCCCGGTACAGCTATTGAAGGCTTCACGAACTACGCAGTCGAAATAGATGTTAAATAATGTGGGAGCCAGAGGACATCCCTGTCGCACCCCAAGGTGTACAGGGAAAGGCTCCGACTCCCGGCCACGTAGTTTTACCCGGGCCCGCTCACCATCATGAAGGTCCTTAATGATCATGAGCAGAGGGTCAGGGACTCCGAAAGCACGAAGAACAACCCAGAGCCCAGGCCTACTGATGGTATCATAGGCCTTGACCAGGTCAATAAAGCAGAGATGTAGGTCTTGTTGGAATTCCCTACACCTCTGCTGTAGCAGACGGACAGAAAATATGGCATCTGTACAGGACCGCCCTTTCCTGAAACCGCATTGGGGTTCCGCAAGCCTCTCCTCAGCGTGCCTAGCAAGGCGATGTTGAATAATCCTTGCCTGGACCTTTCCCGGCACACTGAGGAGTGAGATGCCCCTGTAGTTGTTGCAGTCTGTGCGGTCCCCCTTCTTAAAGAGGGGGACCACCAGGGCATCCTTCCAATCCTGCGGTACCCGTCCAGCGGTCCAGACTGTTGTTATGATGTCATATAGGGCAGTCTGTGCACAAGCGCCACCCTCCCTCAGCATTTCGCTTGGGAGATCATCTCTGCCCGGTGCCTTTCCTGGTCTCAGACTCCGGATCGCCTTCAGTACTTCCTCAACAGATGGCACCTCAGCCAGCCACTCACAGGGGGTGACCTCCAATATTTGAGGCACCGCAGCCTCAGCAGGGTTATCCCCACTTTGTGCCATGATGTTTTCCTGGCTGAGAGATTTTCCCTCCCCCAGGACCTCACAGAAATGCTCAGCAAATCTGCAAACCTGTTCCTGGAGGTCGGAGATTGGATCACCGTTTTTCCCCTAATGATGGTAATAGGTGTGGAGCTGCAGGTTACTTTTTTGATGGAGTTAAATAGTGATTTGTGATCGCGGGCCACTGAGGCAGATTCCATCTCCTCAGCAACCCGTGACCACCACTCATCCTTGCAGCGCCTTACGGCTCTCCGAACCTCCGAGCGAAGGCTGCGGTAAACCTCCTCATTCTCTGACGTGGGATGCTGTAGCCGATGAGAGTGGGCCTGTCGCTTTTTCTCAATTAACCTGAACACCTCCTCTGTCAGCCAGGGTTTCTGGGGAGGTCTGGACCGCGTACCCAAAGCAGCCATTGCAGCTGAATGAGTCACAGTCTTAAACCTCGCCCATTTACCCTCGACATCAGGTGGAGTGGGGGACGATGCCAACCCCAGCTGCAAGCGATGATGAAATTCTCGCTTGCAACTTTCATCAGCTAACTGAGACCAGGCCACTTTTGGTTGGAATGGGATCTTGGGTGTACACCCACCACCGGAGTGGAAGAATGGCAGGCGCATCTTACAGATGACTAGTTGATGGTCAGAGGGCAGATCAGCTCCACGGTAGGTCCTGGTGTCAAGGACATGGGCTCGCATCCCCCCCCCCACACACACACAGGGGTAACCCCCCCACACACACAGGGGTAACCCCCCCACACACACAGGGGTAACCCCCCCCCCACACACACAGGGGTAACCCCTCCCCACACACACAGGGGTAACCCCCCCCCCCCCACACAGGGTAACACCCCCCCACAGGGTAACACCCCCCCCCACACACACAGGGGTAACCCCCCCCACACACACAGGGGTAACCCCCCCCCACACACACAGGGGTAACCCCCCCTCCCCCCACAGGGTAACACCCCCCCCACAGGGTAACCCCCCCCCTCCCCCCACAGGGTAACACCCCCCCCACAGGGTAACCCCCCCCTCCCCCACAGGGTAACACCCCCCCACAGGGTAACACCCCCCCCACAGGGTAACCCCCCCCCCTCCCCCCACAGGGTAACCCCCCCTCCCCCACAAGGTAACACCCCCCTCCCCCCACAGGGTAACATCCCCCCACAGGGTAACCCCCCCTCCCCCCACAGGGTACACCCCCCCCCCACAGGGTAACCCCCCCCTCCCCCCACAGGGTAACATCCCCCCACAGGTAACCCCCCCCTCCCCCCACAGGGTAACACCCCCCCCACAGGGTACCCCCCCCTCCCCCCACAGGGTAACACCCCCCCACAGGGTAACACCCCCCTCCCCCCACAGGGTAACATCCCCCCACAGGGTAACCCCCCCTCCCCCCACAGGGTAACACCCCCCCCCACAGGGTAACCCCCCCTCCCCCCACAGGGTAACATCCCCCACAGGGTAACCCCCTCCCCCCACAGGGTACCCCCCCCACAGGGTAACACCCCCCCCCACAGGGTAACACCCCTCCCCCCACAGGGTAACACCCCCCTCCCCCCACAGGGTACACCCCCTCCCCCCACAGGGTAACAACCCCCCCCCCACAGGGTAACCCCCCCCCCACAGGGTAACCCCCCCCTCCCCCCACAGGGTAACACCCCCCTCCCCCCACAGGGTAACCCCCCCTCCCCCCACAGGGTAACCCCCCCCCTCCCCCCACAGGGTAACACCCCCCACCACAGGGTAAACCCCCCCCTCCCCCCACAGGGTACACCCCCCCCCCACAGGGTAACCCCCCCTCCCCCCACAGGGTAACATCCCCCACAGGGTAACCCCCCCCCCCCCCCCCACAGGGTAACACCCCCCCCACAGGGTAACCCCCCCCCTCCCCCCACAGGGTACACCCCCCACAGGGTAACACCCCCCTCCCCCCACAGGGTACATCCCCCCACAGGGTAACCCCCCCCCTCCCCCCACAGGGTAACACCCCCCCCCACAGGGTAACCCCCCCTCCCCCCACAGGGTAACATCCCCCCACAGGGTAACCCCCCTCCCCCCACAGGGTAACCCCCCCCACAGGGTAACACCCCCCCACAGGGTAACCCCCCCCTCCCCCCACAGGGTAACACCCCCCTCCCCCCACAGGTTAACACCCCCCCACAGGGTAACCCCCCCCCTCCCCCACAGGGTAACATCCCCCCACAGGGTAACATCCCCCCACAGGGTAACCCCCCCTCCCCCACAGGGTAACACCCCCCTCCCCCCACAGGGTAACCCCCCCCCCTCCCCCCACAGGGTAACACCCCCCCCACAGGGTAACCCCCCCCTCCCCCCACAGGGTAACATCCCCCCACAGGGTAACATCCCCCCACAGGGTAACCCCACCCCCCTCCCCCACAGGGTAACCCCGCCCCTCCCCCCACAGGGTAACACCCCCCCACCGGGTAACCCCCCCTCCCCCACAGGGTAACACCCCCCCAACAGAGTAACCCCCCTCCCCCACAGGTAACACCCCCCACAGGGTAACACCCCCCTCCCCACAGGGTAAACACCCCAGACCCCACAGGTAACCCCCCCCACAGGGTCCCCCCACAGGTAACACCCCCCCAGGGTAACCCCCCCTCCCCCCACAGGGTAACCCCCCCCACAGGGTAACCCCCCCCCTCCCCCCAGGTAACACCCCCCCACAGGGTAACCCCCCCCTCCCCCACAGGTAACATCCCCCCACAGGGTAACATCCCCCCACATTAACCCCCCCCCTCCCCCACAGGTAACACCCCCCTCCCCCCACAGGTAACACCCCCCCCAGGTAACCCCCCCTCCCCCCACAGGGTAACCCCCCTCCCCCCACAGGGTAACACCCCCCCCACAGTAACCCCCCCCTCCCCCCACAGGTAACCCCCCCACAGGTAACCCCCCCCTCCCCCCACAGGGTAACCCCCCCTCCCCCCACAGGGTAACACCCCCCTCCCCCCACATGTAACACCCCCCTCCCCCACAGGGTAACCCCCCCCTCCCCCCACAGGGTAACACCCCCCCCACAGGGTAACCCCCCCCTCCCCCCACAGGGTAACCCCCCCCCCACAGGGTAACCCCCCCCTCCCCCCACAGGGTAACATCCCCCACAGGGTAACATCCCCCACAGGTAACCCCCCCCTCCCCCCACAGGGTAACACCCCCCTCCCCCCACAGGGTAACCCCCCCCCTCCCCCCACAGGGTAACACCCCCCCCACAGGGTAACCCCCCCTCCCCCCACAGGGTAACATCCCCCCACAGGTAACATCCCCCCACAGGGTACCCCCCCCTCCCCCACAGGGTAACCCCCCCCCCCCCACAGGGTAACACCCCCCCACAGGTAACCCCCCCCTCCCCCACAGTAACACCCCCCCACAGAGTAACCCCCCCCCCTCCCCCCACAGTAACACCCCCCCACAGGGTAACCCCCCCTCCCCCCACAGGGTAACCCCCCCCTCCCCCCACAGGGTAACACCCCCCCACAGGTACCCCCCCTCCCCCCAGGGTAACCCCCCCCCACAGGTAACCCCCCCCCTCCCCCCACAGGTAACACCCCCCCCACAGGGTAACCCCCCTCCCCCCACAGGGTAACATCCCCCCACAGGTAACATCCCCCACAGGGTAACCCCCCCCCTCCCCCCACAGGGTAACCCCCCCTCCCCCCAGGGTAACACCCCCCCCACAGGGTAACCCCCCCCCCCCCACGGGTAACACCCCCTCCCCCCCTACACCCCCCCCACAGTACCCCCCCCTCCCCCCACAGGGTAACACCCCCCCACAGGAACCCCCCCCTCCCCCCACAGGTAACCCCCCCCTCCCCCCCAGGTAACACCCCCCTCCCCCCACAGGTAACACCCCCCTCCCCCCACAGGGTAACCCCCCCCTCCCCCACAGGGTAACACCCCCCCACAGGTAACCCCCCCCTCCCCCCACAGGTAACATCCCCCCACAGGTACATCCCCCCACAGGGTAACCCCCCCCTCCCCCCACAGGGTAACCCCCCCCCTCCCCCCACAGGTACACCCCCCCACAGTAACCCCCCCCTCCCCCCACAGGGTAACACCCCCCC